AAAGAGAGGCATTGTTTTTATTAATGATTAATAGACGATCTGACAGAAAGCACTCAGAAATAGCCTGGTTGACTTTAGTACTTCATCATTAGAAAGCAGTTTGGCAAATAAAACTGGGGTGAGGCAGGTACACGAGGCTAAGTGTGATGAACTCACAATGTATACTAGTCTACACTACACAAAAGATACTACACTCAATACTTCATAATGAAGCTGCTTTTTATTTGCTGGGTATAGCCTGGGATTTGGAGTCTGCTAGGTTGCCAAGGCAACTTGCATCTGAGAGATACAGAAGGATCCTCCTAACTTTTAAACAGGAATCATTTTGAGATTTAAAGATGACAGACTTTCAAAAAACATGTATGAATGTCCTGAGTGTGAGATATAGGCAATAAATAGTAAAAACATTATTACTAACAAGATAAAAGGTACAACAGATACAAGAAAGGGAAAGGTTCTTCTGAGAGCTTGAGTATACTGAAAGAGCAGGATAGTTCATTTTACTTCATTATCAACAATTTTTAAAATTTTGGTTGTTTTGATTTGTTTGTGTGTTTGTTTAAAACAAGGCCTAGCGATATAGCCCAGGCTGTCCTGGAACTTAATTGCTGGGATTATAGGTGTGTGCCACAGCCTTTAAAAAAAAAAAAAAATTACAGAATAGTATCACCTCTTCTCTTTTACGAAGTAAAATTTCAAAGCAGGAACAGTGAAGAACACCCAAAAGAAAGTAAGTTTAAAAGAAAAATCAGTAACTAAGGGCTTAATGCAGCATATAGATACATAGGAAATTTTAATGGGATCCTACAAGTTTTAGCAGGATTATAAAATTTTGACTCTTGAGCTTTTATATATAACTCATACTTCCAATTAATGCTAAAGCAGAGATTAAAAGCAGTGTCCAGCATAACAGAATTAGACTTACTTAATTCTATAACTATTAGAACTAAACATTTTTAAGTAAACATAAATACCACTACTCTGAGGCAGAAGTGACGGATTCAGATATCTGCTCTGAACTGTGTTTACCACATCCCTAATTGTACTCTTCCCATCTACAAAACACATTCACTCTACATTAAACAATCTTAATGTATTGAATTAATTTAGCACAGTGTTTGGAATATATTACAAAATCAAATGAGGCTAACTAGATAATACAGTAAAACATTTTAAGTCCAAACACCAACAAATCCAAGACCAGCAGAAACTCGGAAGCCCTCTACTTTTGGTATTCCAGATAATACAATTTGAAAACTCAAATTTGAGTTGAAACCATATCATAATCTGGGATACACTAATAATGCCAAAGCAGACAGTTTCTAATAAAATTCTAAACAAAAACTAGAGCAGGATCAGGGATGAATGGGTGGTGGTCAAACCAAACAGTTAAAAAGACTTAAGTCCAATTGAGTAGAATTAACATTTGTTGAGTAACCTATGGTTAGTCCTAGATTGAACTATATACTTTCATCTCCTTATCATATAAAGCATGCCCTTATTGTACAACATGGGAAACTGAGGCTCGAATGTAAGACTTCAACTTATGTAACGCTAACTTCGTCACTAGATGCAGACAGACGCTGGCAGTGCAGATCCCAATGCAGGTTTCCCAAATGAAAGTCAAACCGCTATGTCCAGGTTCCTACGGGCATACACTGAGTTTAGCCAACACTTGCATCACACTCAGTTACTGACAATTCGTTGTCTTCTTGTGTGCCTCTCAAAACATGAGAAAAAGAATTCTATCCTAAAGTGTTCCTCTAAATGTTCCTTCGGGCTTGCTTCATGAAGTTTCATTTTCTCACTTAATGCTATCCAACACGATAAACAGACAGTAGATCTGTCAAAAGGAAAGGATGATGCGTTTGTCTGGTTTGCAAACACTTGAGTTTGAAGGGCTCCAAGGGTAGGCTCTGAGATACTCTGCAACAGAAACCAATCTACAAGTGGAGGAAAGAAAATTACAGCAAGTAGTTTGAATCTGGTGACCAAGAAAAGCATGCAGATTGTGAAAGGACACAACTAATTTAACTTGCAACACACACACACACACACACACACACACACACAGAGTACAACTGACCACACTAGACCCTCAGTCACCTGGACTTGCTGGTGACATTTAAGTATGTAAAACAGGCTGGAAAGGTGGCTCAGAGGTGAAGAGCACTGACTCTTCTCCCGGCACCCACATGGAAGCTTCCAACTGTCTGTAACCCCAATACTAGGGGATCTAACACCTCGGTGGGCACCAGGTATGTATGTGGTGGGCAGACATACATGCCAGCAAAACAGCCATATGTATAAATAATAAAAAATTTTAAAGTATTTCTAATATAATGCATATACTATTACAGTAAACTTTTTAGTTATCTATTATTTCTTGAAAGTAGTCAACTACTTTTTGGGGAGTCACTGAAGATTGGATCGAGGGTCCTTCCATGTTAAAGTAGCAATCTACCACTGAAGGGTACTCCTAGACTATCTACTACATCTTGATTAACTGTCCTAACAATTAAAATGGCAGTCAAGATTCAGGCAAGTTTTACATAAAATTCTAGTTTGGGCACTTAGTAAAACAAAACTTTGGGGAATAAAACTTCCTTTACACTAGCATTTAATATGCTGCTTACACTGGCTTTTTATTGAGCTCTTTATACTGAACACTTTTTATTGAACACTTTATACTGAATCAATCTCTCAGGAATCTTGTGACTTAGAACTGAGAGGTAAAGAGGTGGAATTACTCTTCAAAAAGTCTTATTACCTGCCTTGTGTGGAACAAAAACATGTTTTTAAGCAATTACAAGTGGTCTCTAAACTTACTACACACACTCGGAAAATGATTTCTGTTTTTGGACAGTCTTCCTCTGTAGCCTGAGCTAGCCTGGAACTCACTATATATACCAAATTTTCCTCTAACTCTCCATCTCACCTCAGCTCCTACTAAGAACTGAAGACAGGCCTGAGCCACCATCCCCAGCTCAGAAAAATAATTTTTCTTTGAGACAGGGCCTCGTGTAACCCAAGCTGGCTTCAAGCTTGCAATGTAGCACGGGACCTTTCCATGCTCCTGCCTCCACCTCCTGGATGCTAGGATTACATGCCTGCACCACGACAGAATTTTACGTGTTGCTGACTGAACTCAGGGGTTCTGGGTTTGGTAGGCAAGCAAGCTACCATCAGCACTACGTGCCTCAGTTTCCAGGAAAATAATTACGAGCATAGATTTCGACATTAAGAAAAAGATCATTTTCACATGCTAACTGGATGAGTCTAAGAGTTCATCATCTACACCTCCCCTAAAACTAGCTGCTGGCCACTGCAGATTTTATTAGACATTTTTAAAGAATCCAGCAGCCTTCTAAGCGTCAGGGAATATGGCCTTTTCTAACTTGGAATAGACATCTCAGAAGAGCTCGAGACGCAAGCTTGGTCTTCTTTTTACTCATTAACTATAAAGTTAATAAGTAAAGCAAGTATAAGGTAAGTGCTCGCGTAACTTGTCTTCAGGCTTTTAAATGTCAATTCGCTGTTCTTTCTAGGGATCAGGAGTCTTACCTCACGCCCTAGTCTCCTGGAGTCCTTTCTCTACCCCTCAGGTCCTGTTTTCTAGCGCTGCCAATCGAGATTTCCCTCCAATTCCACAGTCACGAAGGGCAAGAAACGCCACCCAAACCTTCCAAACGCGGCGATCTAACTCTTCGCCTGGACCATCCCCGGGGCGTTTAGGGGAAACTGGATTTAACGACCAATTCCGATTTCGGCGGCATTTCCAGTCGCCCCCACCCCACCCCACCCCACCCCCCCAACACGGTGGTGCCTGCGCATGGAGTCCCCAGCTCCGACGGCGGCCCTGATCAGCCCCGACCCGACCTCTGCGGCTGCCCGCCAACGCCCGGGCCGCCTGGGGACGCGCGAGGGCGGGCCGGGCGCCCACGGCCAAGTTTCCCCGATGCGGAGAGCGGGTGTCCCCCGGCCGAGGGCGTGAAGGTTCCCCCCCCACCCCACCCTGCGGCCCGCGCGCAGGCCCGACCCCTCAGCACCCGCAGCCCGCAGCTTCCAAGGAGGGCCGAGGGCGGGCGGGCCGGCGGCCGAGGCACGGGGGGCTGCCGGGGCGTGGGGAGAGGAAGCGCGCGCCCTCACTCTACCTCCAACAAGTCGCGGTCGCCCCGGGGGAAAGGAGTCGGCGCGGCTGTCACGACGCGAAGGCCAAGCTCAGGGCGTCCGACCTCGGCTCCCGCTCGCGCCTCGCCGCCCCCCCCCACCCGCCCGCCCGCAACGCCAAGCTGGGCGCACCCGCGCCCGAGAAGCAGGAGGCGGGAGCCCCGCAGCCAGGCGCCCGCCGCGGGACGGTCCGCGCCTGCGCCCCGCCCCTCCCCGCCCCCGGACTCCGCCCGCGCCTGCGCGCTCCGGGCCTCTCGCACCGCTCGGGTGGGCCAGAGGGAACCGGAAGTGCGCTCAGCAGGCGGGAGGTTGGGGCGGGGGGACGGGGGAGGGCGGGGGCGAAGAGCAGAGGAAGCCCAGAGGCACGCGCCCCTCCGCGGCGGAGCTAGACGGAGGGGGAGGAGGGTGGGAAGAGCTCCCGGCGCCCTGGCAACAGGTCTACGCATGCGTCCGCCGGGCCGCTGGCAAGATGCGGGGGGGGGGGGGGGGGGGGGGGGGCGGGGGAAGAGAAACCGCGAGGAAGGGAGGGGCGGGGGCGGGGGGGTCGATGGGGAGGAAAGGAAACGGTTTCCCGGAAGGGGCGGGACCAGTGTCAAGGGCGCTGGATTCGAAATTGAGGCCCACGGCTTAGTGCTGGGGAAGGCCGCGAGAGGCTGTTTTTGTTTTTTTTTCTGGGTTTTTGTTTTGTTCTCTTCGTTTTAACATTGATGTGAGGGGATCGGGGGCTCGAGGGCGGCGGTACTTAGTGGACTCCAGGCCAGACTGGTCAATGACCGGGAGTGTCCCCTCCCCAGCCGCGAGGAGGGGCTGTCCGGGTAAGTCCCGCGGGACAGGCTGCGGCCGCCCGCCCGCCCGCCCGCCCCGGTGCTCGCACAGGCTTCTAGAACAGGGGCGGGAGGGCGAGCCCGACGCCCCCACGCCTCGTTCGACGCTGTCCGGGTGACCTTCCCCGGTGCCCTTTTACACACCGCTCTGCATGAATGGTTGCAACTGGAAAAAGTTTTCTTGCCGCAGGCACTTCCGTGTGCCTCTGGGGTTGTGCGTGTGAGCCTCTCTCCCCCTCGCCGCTCCACCCTAGAGGGTGGACATCGCCTTAAGTCAACGGCAGTTAGAGTTGTTCTTGGGCCGTCTCCATTCGCGTCTCGACCCGATGTTAGCCATCCGTTCCGTCTTTACACAACTTCACATCCGTGTGCCGACCTGGCCAAGGAAACTCGCTGTGCCCCAGCTTTCCCTCCTGTGTCGGGGGCGGGAAATGGCATTGACTGTCACCCCCAGTCTCGGTTTGCCCATCCCCAACCTTGGTGTACAACCTCAGGTCTCCGGTTAATGAAGTAAATTCCTTCGTTCAAAGTCACCGTTCACTTCATAGTGATATGTTGTGTCCTTTATCACGGACTACTGAAAAGGGTGACATAGCCAAAGACTGAAATGTGGGGCCGATTCATCCCCGTTAGTAACTGAGAAACATCCTCTGGCAGTGCTATCGACCTATTAAAATGCTGACTTTGTCCCTCTACAACCTCACTCTACCAAGATATTTAAATCCACAACCTGATCGTTATCGTATCTACAGCACCCAGGCACATTCCTAATAAATGCTAGTGGGTAAATTAAATATGGGTCTTAAACTCATCAAATTAAATTCATATGGCAGGATAACGGAAAGAAATTTCGAACAGCACGACTTGGTGAAATTATTTTACATCCCATGCAGATACAGTCCCACACGATGAAAGTTTATACTGTTTGCCAATCTTTATACGAAAACCTAGTTGACTAAATGGGAATTTGGAAATTTAACCACTTCCTGTCCCTTCTTTAAGCTTTGACAGAGCAGAAATTTTGTCTTAATACGACGTGTTTTTGCATAAATCAAGCTATTGACTTCTTTTTTATGTTCTTTACATTTGATTCATTAGTGGAATTAGCAAGGGTCTGTGTTTTTCTCACCTCGTTCAGTTTTATAATTAACCAATAGAAACTTAATAGCTTTTAAGGAAGCTTTAGGAGCATAAATGGATTTATGGGCGCCATATGGTTACTTCAAAGGATCTGTTTTTTTGTTTTAACTTGAAGTAGATTCTTCAGCCCTTAGTTAATGAAGAAACTTTTCTAGCAAGCCATAATCTGAATATTCCTGCTACCAAAATTGATCTTGAGAGTCAAAGGATGTTAGAATCTCGTCATTTATCTGGTTTGATATGTTTCATTTTCTAGAAAGGCTCATTGTCTCTCTGAGGCTATACAGTTGATCACTAGTATATCCAAAACCCGAATCCTAGCCTTTTGGACTCCAAATTCAGTGCTCTTTCCACCAAACAAGATACATTGAAGCTATTATAAGTTATAAAACTATTTGCTATTTATTCTGACTTTGTTGACTCTTTCCTTGTTACACAACTAACTTTTAAAAATTAGAAATATGTTAGGAGACACATTTATGTTGACTGCATCATGAGAGGACAGCAGTAGTTACTACATTATAAGAGGTTTGAATAGACTCACGAATTTACATAGTTTTGGAGGATTTAATAGCTGTAGTATTTTTAAGTTTTACTTAATGCTAATCTTTCTTCAAGGATGGAATATGACCTAATCAAGAACTGTCTTTACTGTCTTTTAGTGTAGTTATACATCTTGAACACTGTTCCATTTGGTCTATTTTTAGAGTTTCACAAGCTTTTAGAATCTTTAACTATTGCCATGTAACATCACCTCAGAGATGGTGGTACTGGTACTAAGAGCACGTAGAGAAAGTGAGAGCACAATGTATGGTGGCTTAATTTAATGATTCTGAATTTGCTTTCTTAAAACACGTGCGTACTTTATAATACACTATAATGGGCGTTCTTCATAGACAATATGGATTTTTAAACTTAGATTATAGAATTAGAGAAAATCCTAAAATAGTATTTTTAAAATATAGCCAATAATAGCACATGCCTTTAATCCTAGCACTCTGGAGGCAGAGCCAAGCAGATCTCTGTGAGTTCAAGGCCAGCCTGGTCTACATACTGAGTTCAGGACAACTAGAGCTACATAGTGAGACCCTGTCTCAAAATCAAAAAAATAAGTATATATGTGTATAGTAAATATAAACATATTATAAATGTAATTATGCATATAGATGTTACACTTGCAATACATAATTTTGTAATAACTCAATGTTTATATTTCCTTATAAAATAGCCACCATAAATGGATGAAAACAGTATTTTAATGATTTGTTTTTTTCAACATGATTACTCAGGCTGTAATGGAGAGAAAAACTGTATACAAATGTGTTGTGGATATCGCTCTATATAAATAAAGCACTGATTGGCCAGTGACCAGGCAGGAAGTATAGGCAGGACAAGGAGAAAGGAGAATTGAGGAAGGAGGAAGGAAAGGGAGACCGGCTGGAGCCACCGCCAAGACAAGGAAGATGTAAAGTACCGGTAAGCCACAAGCCACGTGGCAAAGTAAAGATTAATAGAAATGGGCTGAATATAAGAGTCAGAGCTAGACAATGATAGGCCTGAGCTAATGGCCAAGCAGTTTAAATAATGTAAGAGTCTGTGTGTTTAATTTATAAGTGGGCTCCGGGACTGGCGGGACTTGGTGGCGGGAGCTGGAGAAAAATTCTCCAGCTACACAAATGGGAAGAAATAAAAAGAAGCTGGGAATCTTATTACAGACTTAAAACTGTATATAGCAGAATTAGTGAGGTGTTGTTAGAAATGGGAGATTAAGAAGGCATTTTGTAGACACAAAATGTACTGATCACTTGGCTGTTGGAGAACAAAGCTTAAGCAAGCATACTTGGGAAACACTAAGACTGAGACAGTTTTAAGGAGAGGTTTAAAGATTAAATGTAGCTGGAGTTTTCCTGCCTGGCCTACAGTCAGGACAAATCTGTCACCCGCCAGTCCCACAGCCGCTCAGACCCAACCAAGTAAACACATAGACACTTATATTATTTAAAAACTGTATGGCTGTGGCAGGCTTCTTGCTAACTGTTCTTATATCTTAAATTAATCCATTTCTATAAATCTATACCTTGCCATGTGGCTCGTGGCTTACCAGCATCTTCACATGCTGCTTGTCATGGCGGAGGCTGGCAGTGTCTCCTTCCGCCTTCCTGTTCTTTCTTTTTTCCTCTCTGTTAGTCCCGCCTATACTTCCTGCCTAGCCACTGGCCAATCAGTGTTTTATTTATTGACCAATCAGAGCAATTTGACATACAGACCATCCCACAGCAATTAAAGATGGGATTAAAGAGTTTGGTAAAAACCATACAATTCCAATACCTGGGAGCTGAGCTAAAAGCACAGGTTGCAGACCAGTGTACCCAGCCAGACCCTGTCTCAGAAACAAAGAAGACAGGTGGGTACCATACATCCAGCAAGAAGGAAATAAGTAGGCTGAGTAGTCACTTCAAAGAATATAGCTAATGATAGGGGTTAATAATGTTAGAGGTCAGGCTAGCAAATAAAAGTTCTAATTCTTGTGGCTAGCTACTTCTAGTTCTTTTAATATTATCCCTTAGTGTAGTTCTGATCTATACTTTTTGTAGTTTTGTTTGTTTTGTTTTATCTAGTGGATGCTTGATGGCTTTATAGGAAATTCAAGAAGCTCTAATAGAAATTCATTGTAAGTTCCTAAGAGGCACCAAGGGTGACAGTTATAGTCTATATTGTTTTGGGAACCTCTTGGACTCTCCTGACCAACAAGGACTGGCAGTAGGATTTTTGTGAGCCTGTTTTATGGGGGGACACTCACTCCAATTGGTGTGACTTTAATTAATACATATATATGTAAACATATGCATTACATTTCATATGTAATTTTAAGTAGCCACAAAATGATTCCTTGTCATTATTTAAGACATTTTTAGTGTTTTTTATCCCTCCTTTTAAAATGGGTCTTCAGATATCCAGTGTGAGTCACAAATAAAAGCAAAAATATAGAGAATTTCATCCTCAAATTATTATTTGGTGTTAATGTGTTCTGATGGCTAATACTTAACAAATCTCATTTACCTTCATAATAATGTATTAGGAAATATATATGCCTCTGCTCTTTCCAGGATTAGGTACAACTTTTCACATTAACTCAGTCTGTTGCCACAGTGTTACAGCCAGTAGAATTTGTTGAGGTAGAGTAAAATTAGCACTGACCTACTATTAACTTCTTAATACTTTGTGTTCACTCTGTGTGTTTATCTTTGTAAAGTAATATAACCATGTATATTTATGCACTTCTCAAAAATGAGTGCACAAAATAACACTCATGGTAGGACTGGCCACGTTATAAAATCAAAATTCAGAAAACAGAAAATTATATACAACAGCCTTTCCAGCAATGGTTTTCTTTGCCTCTGTGTGAAATTTGATAGAGTAGACTTTCTGAATATACTTTTAAAAGAAAAGACTGGAATTTTTATTCATAAGCTTTCTGCATATAAATAATGGCCTTTTGGTTTAATATACTTTTGCCTTCTACCTTGGGTTTTTAGGCTGGATTAAGGTCATTGAGGGTTTTTGTTTTGTTTGTTTCTTTAGCTGTTTGCCTGCTCCCATGTTCCTTGATTAAGTGTGTTTCGGATAACAGCAGATAATCGCCAGGATGGGAGTGAATGACTTGTGGCAGGTTTTGGAGCCTATAAAGCAGCATATCCACTTGCAGGACCTCAGTGGGAAAACGGTTGCGGTTGACTTGAGTCTCTGGGTGTGCGAGGCACAGACAGTGAAGAAAATGATGGGAACTGTCATGAAGCCCCACCTCAGGTATAGTAAAGGGTCTGTGACTGTAGATGAGTGATTGTGTAGCCAGTCTTGGCATCCTGGCTTTGTTTCCACTTTTGTTTAATTGTCTTTTATTTGAGATTTTAAGATATATTTAACATCTTGATCTACTGCTGTGGAATAATCCTTTTCTACACTATGAATATGTATTATTTTCATTGGTTAATAAAAAGCTGACAGACTGGTAGCTGGGCAGGAAGTTATGTGGGAAAGCCAAACAAAGAATGATGGGAAGAAGCAGGGTAGAGTCCAGGGAGACACCAGCCAGCCAGCCAGCCAGCCAGCCACCTAGCCAGCCACCAAGCAAGCGAGACATGTAAAAAATGAGGTAGCAAGCTACGAGCCACATGACAAAGCATAAATAGAAATATGGGTTAAGTGTAAGAGTTAGCTGTTAACAAGCCTGAGCTATCAGCTGAGCATTTATAATTCACATTTAACCTCTGAGTCGGTTATTTGGGACCAGGTGGTTGGGACAGGAAACATCCATTTACAATCTACCGTTTTATAGCAATGACCTAAATATGCATCTCCTACTCCAAGCTTCAAGCTCACATAACTATCTTCACTACATGCTTCAGGTACTAAAAGCCAGAAACTGAGAGGCCATTATCTTCCTCTTTTATCTCTCATCTCTAGTCCATCAGTAATTCTTGTTCATTTGGCTTCCAAAATACCTATGTGTTCACAAATTTCTCTTGATGTCCAGGGACACCACATCAGCCTGTGCCAACCTCATGTCTTATCTGTATCTGCTGCTGGAATGGCATTTTTATACCCTTCACCTGCTCGTAGCCTTTCCCTCCAAACCAGTTGGCACTATGGATAGTGAGAAATCACCCCTGCTTAAAAATGTTAAGTACAGCCGGGCGGTGGTGGCGCACGCCTTTAATCCCAGCACTCGGGAGGCAGAGGCAGGGGGATCTCTGTAAGTTCGAGGCCAACCTTGTCTACAGCGCGAGATCCAGGAAAGGCGCAAAGCTACACAGAGAAACCCTGTCTCGAAAAGCCAAAAAAAAAAAAAAAAAAAAAGTTAAGTACTTGCCCATTTTCCTTAAAATAAGATCTTAGTATAGCCGGTGAAATGGTTCAGTAAGTAAATACACTTGCTACCAGGCCTGACAGCCCTAGTGTGATCCTTAGAACCCACATGGTGGAACAGTAGAACCACTTCCTGCAAGTTGTCCTTTAACCTCCATGCAAGTATAGAGGTGTGCTCGTGCCCACACAAATATACCACTCATGAATGCTTGTGCGCACACGCATGTGTTTGAAAATGTTATTGTACATAACATTTTTTGTATTAGCCTAGTGTTCAAACCTTTTTTCATGCTGCTATTTGGACTTGTTATCAATATGATGATTAATACATTACTCATTTTTATATTTCAGAAACCTGTTTTTTCGTATTTCATATTTAACTCAAATGAATGTCAAACTGGTGTTTGTAATGGAAGGGGAGCCACCAAAGCTCAAAGCTGATGTCATGAGCAAGAGGACTCAGACTCGTTATGGGCCTTCTGGAAAAACATGCTCTCAGAAAACAGGGCGATCACATTTTAAGTCAGTCTTACGAGAGGTGAGCATTTGGATTCGACGAGTAATTCTTATTTGAATTAAAGAGTAAATTTTATAAACTTACACTCGTTAACCATGTTAATGGTTACAGGGACAGAGTTTATGTTAGAGTAAAACAGACCTGAAACCAAGTTTTAGCATGGGCATTTAGAAATTATGAGATAACTTAATTTGCATTTTAATTCTTAGTGAAATGGGGGTCGTAATACTCTGCAGTGATTTTAAATGCTTTAAAAACGTGTCTACAGTAAAGAATCCATGGTAGGAATTGAACTATCTTTCCTTTTAACTCCAGTGGTTTTAGAATGCATGAGAGCCATAAGTTGTTTGCTGCTTTGATCAAGGTTATGGGTATAAACATAAATAGGGGGCAGCTTGATAACGTGTCCATTTAATGAAGCAACAGTAGTAGGTTCTGTGCCAGTGACCTCTCTAGTTATGGGCCTCTACCAGAACTACAGTACCAGAAGCTTTTATGGAAAGGACCTCAAATTCATCAGAAATCATTGTCCTCTTAGCAGTCACTAAGAGTCACTATTTTACCAGTAAGTACCTCTTGCCTACAAGTTGGTATTGTAGCATGCAAAGTCTAAGGAAGACTGTAGGTGGGCTTTATCCCCCAGCTGTATGCACGGGCACTCCTGGCACTTGAAGGCTACCCAGCAGGACTTAGGGGATTTTGTTTCTTACGGTATCTTGCTATATAGCCTAGGCTGCCCTAGAACTAGCTAGATAGCTTAGAGTGGTCCTAAATTCATGATCCTCCCTCATCACGTTAGATTTTTTTTTATTTTAATTAAAATGTAATTACATTACTTTCTCCCTCCAAGTCCTCTCTCTCCAACTCCTTCCATACACTCTTCTCATATTGATAGCCTCTTTTTCTTTATTGGTGTGTGTGTGTGTGTGTGTACACGTACGTACGTGTACACGAGCACGCAGCTTTAGGGCTGACTACTTTGTATGAGATAGCCAACTAGAGAACTCATCTCTGGAAGAGGCTAATTCTCCCTCTCTGGTCAGTCATTAGTTGCCTGTAGTTCTTTGTCTAGGCGTGGGACCCATGAGGTTCCCCCCTTTTGAGTTAGCATGTCTATTGATAGTGTCAATGTTCCAGTCTGGTTTATGCTGCCATTCCTAGGAGGCACTTTTACAGCCTATTATATTTTTAAGGAGTTGTAGTGTATAAATAATTTTATTGTTGACATTTCACTTAACACATCACAGACATGGTTCCCTGTTGTTGCTTTCTGTTCAAAATTATAACTTAGAGTGTTTATGTAACATGTATGGGGCTGTGAATTATTCTTATGAGTGTATATCATCACATTTTAACTTTCCTCCATTATACATGAAATTATGAACTTTCTCACTGTGTAACTTTTTCTTACCATTTGAGATTTTAAATAAAATTATTGAAAATAGAATTGACAAATTAAAGTTCTAGAATTATTTTTTTTTAAACTCTTGGAAATACTTTCCTACAGGTGTGAGAGCAATTTTGATGCTCACAAAAGAACTCTGGATGTTTTCTTACATAGAAGCAAAAATATTTAATATAATCCAGTCATGGTTAATCCTAGCACTTGGGAGGCAGGAGAATGTCTACAAGTTTAAGGCCAACCAGGGCTACATAGTGAAACCTTGTATTTCAAAATCATGAAAGTTGGGTATTTAATATAATAATGTATTTTAGAAGACAGTGCATAAGATAATGATTCCTGAACTGCCATTTTCGGGTCTTAGTGTTTTAAATAATTTCCAATTTCTGAGTAGTCAAATTTAATGACTTAGTAGTTGAAGTAAACACCTGTACTGGGGTCTAACAGTTTTCTGTAAAATTAGTTCCTGGAAATATCTATGAGTCTCATCCTTAGAACATTAAAAAGACTGTATCTTTATCTATGCCTTTTTAAGGGAATTGCTCTATTCCTACTTCTGTATCACAATCACTACGGTGCCGATAGGCATTTCGTGTCCATTCAGTGTTGCTTACCTGTCACCCATTTTCATATTTCTGCACTCCCAGTAGGTCAAAAAATACAAATTAATCCTCCTTCAACACCAAACCCATCCAATAGAAGTAGAAGAAAATTGCAACCAGCCATATCATAACTTGTGTGCTACGAAAGGAGCTGTGAATGTAAATGGCACACAAAGCTGAAATAACTTTGCCTAGTGTGAAAAGATCATCCCTAACTAGGGTAAAAAGAGAAGACATGCTTGTTGCAAAAATGTTGTCCCCTAGTCACTGCACCAGAGTCTTGCGACTGTTGGCCTCAGGCTACATCTGACAGCAAATGATTCAAGATTAAAGATTCTGGGTAAGAGGTGTTATTTCTGTCAGTCTGTCAAAAGTGCATTGCAGAGCCTCTTGTCTCCATATTCAGCATTCCTCAATTCGGAAAGAACCATAAATGGCAAGGAACGTGAACTACTGTAGTTTGTGTGGCTAAACTGTAGGCTGCTCACGAGATCAAAGCCATAACCCAAAGAAAACTCACAGTGGGTTATTTATGCATCACGAAAGGATAAAATCACCTTGCACGGGTATCTCATTTCCTAGGAGAGACCAGCACTGTACGTAGCCTTGTGAGAGTTGTCATACTGTTGTATGACACTCTTCCTTGGGAAATGCTACCAGGTAGGGACTATGACAGCCTAAGCATACCACCAGAACCCCGTTTATGAGCCAGACTTTTATTGGATTACTTGCAGGAACATGAGTACGGGGGCACTTAGAGGAGCAGGCACAACTGTGTCACCAAAACTCCGTCCCACATAGGCAGCAGCTCCTGAAAGCTGGAACCCAGAGTGCACTGCACAACCTGCTGCAGTTCAGGAGGTGCGAGAGTGTCCTCTCCAGGTGGCTCAGTTTCTGAGTGTCCTGGAGGTAGTTCAGCGGGGTCTGCTTCCAGGTAGCCAAGCACTCTGTCTCTGTGTGTGTCTCTGTCATTTTTGAGTGTCTTGGCTGATCTAAGAAGGTTGTTCAATAGTCCTTACTACTTACATATGCTTGGAAGGGAGGGGCCTAGTGTCAGTGGTCAGGTGAGGGACTTCCTGAACCCTCAGAGGTGTTTATTTGCTGATCTGAGCTTGTTGATCTTCCCTGCAAGAAGGAATGTTTTCACTCCCTCTAAAACATACTGTGTAAATCCCAACCATAATACTGTAGAAGTCTCAATATTTTAGTGTTGCTTTCTGCAAGATAACACTTTAAAACTGAAATAGGCATAACCATATTGTTATTTTAATTATCTCACCTAAAAGGCGAACAATCCTTTCTTAATACCATCAATTACTCAGTGTCCAAATTTCCAAGTGTTTCTTCAATACCACATTTTTTTAAATACCCAAAAGACTACTGATATTTTGAATGTAGAAGTAATGTAAAAACTGGAAATTCAATGTCTTGCACCCGCTCTTTGTTTCAGTGCCTAGCAATGCTAGAGTGCCTAGGAATCCCCTGGGTCCAGGCTGCTGGGGAAGCTGAAGCCATGTGTGCTTACCTGAATGCCAGTGGCCATGTGGATGGCTGCCTCACCAACGATGGTGACGCTTTCCTGTATGGAGCCCAGACTGTTTACAGGAATTTCACTATGAACGCAAAGGTACTTCTTCTTCTCTTTCTCTCTTGGTCTCTGTTTATACAGTACATTTTTAAAGAGCAGGACTGAAATAATATGTGAAAAATGTTCCCATGATGCCTGACACATGGTTACTGCTACATAAAATGTTTACTAATTAAAAATATCATTGCTATATATTTAAAGGAGCGAGAAAACATTTTGAAAGTTTTCACCATAAATGTGTGTGTGTGTGTATATATTTAGATTTAAATTTTTTAATGATTTGTATGTATGGGGTGGGGAGTATGTGCAGTTACAAGTGTAAGCGCTGAATCCACCTGAAGCTGGAGTTACAGGCATCTGTGAGCCGCCTGACATGGTGCGTGGAATGAAACTCAGATGCTCCTCAAGAGTAGTATGAGTAACCACTAAGCCATCTTTCCAGTCCTGTAAATAAGGATTTAGAGGTTATGGCGATAATAAAGCTGATTATCTATTAAAAAATAAAAAACAGTTTTAAAAAGCATCGTGATCCAGCAAAGTGGCTCAATGGATAAAGGCTTTTCACCGGAGTTTGAGTCCCAGAACCCACATCGTGGAAGAAGAGACTTCCACAAGTTGTTCTTTGCATTCCACTCACACACCACGGCATACACATACCCGTACCAATGAATGAGGTAATTAATTTTTTTTTTTTTTTTTTTTTGGTTTTTCGAGACAGGGTTTCTCTGTGTAGCTTTGAGCCTCTCCTGGAACTCACTTGGTAGCCCAGGCTGGCCTCGAACTCACAGAGATCCACCTGCCTCTGCCTCCCGAGTGCTGGGATTAAAGGCGTGCGCCACCACCGCCCGGCTGAGGTAATTAATTTTTTAATTAAACATTGCCAAATAGTTTATTCTCTTCAGAATGTGAATTTCTCACTAACGTAGCACAGAATTATGTGTGAATGCATTGTTTTGTCCCAGAACTTCTAGTTTTGATATTTAATCCTCAAAACACCTCCAAGTGTACGAGGAGAGGGATAGAAGACAGGAAATTCTTTGTTATGGTATTAGTAACTATGAAAATTAGCAAACCAAACGCTTGTCGGGGAATGTTTAAATGTTTCCTTGTTATGATTCCTAGTTGGGGATTCTTGCCAATTAACATTTTTATTGCAGCAATCAAGGGGAAGGAGACTAGGTAGTCTCCACCTCAGCATTTGGTATGTTAGTACCAGCAAGGCTAAGCTTCATGCCATTTCTCTCCAAACACTAGGAGGTTCCTACAAAAAGTGCTGTCACAGAGTTGGTATGGTGCAATACGAAGCAGTCATGTAAAAGTGTGTCTTAGAGCTGATGGTGCACACCTTTAATCCCAACACAGTGGATGCAGGGCAGGAGGATCTCTGTGAGCTCCAGTCAGCCTAGTTTACATAGCAAATTCAGTGAAACCCTGTTGGGGGAGATGTGTTACTGACATAAAAAAGATACCCAGGCACATTACTGGGGGAAACGTTGCGAAACAGTATTTTTATGTATCTCTGCCTTTATTAAAAATAAAGTTAATAGCCAGGTGGTGGTGCCCACCTTTAATCCCAACACTCGGGAGAGAGAGGCAGGTGGATCTCAGTGAATTCGAGGCCAGCCTGGTCTACACAGTGAGTTCCAGGGCAGCCAGGGCTGTTACACACATAAACTCTGTCTCAAAAAAAAAAATTGTTAATAGTAAATATTAATAATGAATGCCAGAGAAAAGGATTATTTTTAGAAGAATGTATACTAAGGTACTAATAATTAACTTTAAGTAATACAATTATAGTGAATGTTTATTTTCAACAGTATATACCATACATTGTACTTTTTAGACACCAAAAACAATAGAGAGAAAAATAAATTGCCCACCATGAAGGTTTTTTCTAATTTAAATGTAGTATTTTTGGCAATTTTTGAGAACTTTATATATGAGTTCAATGTATTTCCATCATATTTCCCACCTACTCCTTGCAGATCTAATTTCCAGCCCCACCCAGTGTGCTTTCTGTTGCTATGATAACACAACCAAAAGCGACTGGGGAGGAAAGGGTTGATTGACTTACACTTCCAGGTCACTGTCATCACTGAAGGAAGACAATACAGAAATCTGGAGGCAAGAGCTGATGCGGAGGGCATGGGGGAGTGCTGTTTTCTGGCTTGCTCAGTTTGCTTTTTTGTACAACCCAGGAAAACTTGCACAGGGATGGCACTACCCACAGTGGGCTGGGTCTTCCAACATCAGTCATTAATCAAGAAAGTGCCCCCAATGACTTGCCTACATACCAATCTTATGGAAATATTTTCTCAATTGAGAACCCCTCTTTCTAGATGCCTCAAGCTTGTGTCGTTGACAAAAAACAAAAACAAAACAACAAAAATCCAGCACACCCTCCCAAATTCACATTCTTTATTTTATTTAATTATTTTTTTTATAGTCTATGGTTCCAATTTGTAACGCCCATATACTATTGGATGTGAGGCTATCCACTTACAGCATGGGCAACCCACTAGAGTTAACCCCCTTAAAGAAAATTGACTCTCCACCCATAGAAGCCATCAGCTGTCAACAGTTCCTCAGCTAGGGCTGGGGGACTCCTAAACCTCTTCCTGCTCAGTGCTGAAATCTTAACTGCCTTGATCTTTGGCAGGCACACACAGCTGCTATGAGTTCATGAATGCAGTGGTTCTGTCATGTCCAGAAGTCACACTTTGGCTCCTGTCCTCCCAGCCTCTAGCTTTACAATCTTTCTGCCCACTCTTCCACCATGATCCCTGAGCCCTGGGGAAAGGAAATGTGATGTGCACATCTGAACACTGTTCATATACTTACTCTGCACATAACACCCACTGCTTCTCTAATGATGTCTGAGAACTGTAATCTATGGGTATAGAGATGCAAATTTAGAGGGCAGTTTGATGCTATGTCCATTTAGCAAAATAATAGTAGTAGGTTCACCCCTGGGGCCTATGAGCTCCCCAAGCATGGGTTCTTGGCCAGATATCCAGTACTAGGCATGCATTGCCTCTTGTAGAGTGCTCCTTAAATCCAATCATAAAGCAGTTTTTTACACTCATAACCTATGACAGTCATTCCACTATTGAACCCAGGGCAAATCTTGCCATGCTGGTCATTATTTTAGCTCACAGGGTTCACAGCTGGGTTAGATTGTTGATGACTTTTCCTTCCCCACAGCAGCAGGCACAGCACCTTCTGGTACTTTGAAACACAGCCAATAAGGAAGAAATTTCAGTATCACTTTATTCATCTATTGAAATGTCACGTTCTGTAGATATTGTTGTAATCAGGATGATTTTCTTGTTCCAAGTTTTTAGAAAAAGACTAAATGACAACTCATTCTTTCTACTGTTTAACATAAAACACTTTGAAGATGAAACCTCTGTGCTCTTTTTAGGATCCACATGTTGACTGTTACACAGTATCATCTATCAAGAGTAAGCTGGGCTTGGATCGGGATGCCCTGGTTGGACTGGCGGTGCTTCTTGGGTGTGATTATCTTCCAAAGGCAAGCTGAGCTCATCATGTCTTTCTCAGTATCTTGGATGCTTCACATGGTGTGTGTGTGTGTGTGTGTGTGTGTGTGTGTGTGTGTGTGTGTGTGTACACTGTATAGGTATATAACTATGAATTCACTTGAAGTATAGTCCATTCACTAACATAGATAATCAGCAGGACTGATGAGATGATTGACTGGGGAAAGTACGGCTATGCAGGCCTGACATCCTGCGGTCCGTGCCTGGGATGCAGTAACGATGAAAGGAAGAAAACCAAGTCCACGGAATTGTCCTCTGACCTTCCACAAGTGCCATGGCTCATATGCTCACACACATCATGCACTCACACATGAAATCATGAGTAAATAAATCTAAAGACAATCAGCAACTCATAATCCTAAAGAGCTACCTTGTGACAACAAATGTACAAAAGCAAATCCTATAAGTGGTCCCACAGCCTCGGGATTGACTCGCGTGCTTGACCAGCCTATCAGAGAAGTTTCAGGATTCGCCTCTTTTATACCAATGCTAGTTTCTGTTATGGCCTCATCTATGTTTTAGCTCTCTGTACTCATCGGAGCTGTCCAGCTGCACACATGTGCAGTGCTCTTGTCGCTGCTGCTGAGCAGCGTCATTACTGAGGTAGCCGTCCATACCTCCCTGCCTCTCAGCATTGCATTAGATTTTCTTCACAGAGTGATAAGAATTATGAGGACAACCTTTTCTTAAATACGCTGTGTAAAAATGCACATGATCACTATTATAACTCTTTATATGTGTCCCCATCATTCCAGATTAACATTTGTTTTTCCACTTTATGAAAGGGAGTGCCTGGCGTTGGAAAAGAACAAGCATTAAAACTTGTGCGGATTTTAAAAGGTCAAAGTTTGCTTCAGAGGTAACTAAGTTGCTTTTTCCTCCATGCTGGACACACTCTTGCTGGACTCTGAACTACTCTGTGTTTTCATTTTCAGTAATTAATTCTTGCTTTTCTTGAACTCTTCCAAAGGAAGGAAATGAATATATGTTCAAAGCATACTATGAAGTATGTATTTCTGTTTCAATACTCATAGTACAATGTCAAATGTAGTAACTTACAGCCATGGGCATTTTTCCATAGGCTGTGTTAGATTGTTAGTATCAGTTAAGATGAATATAACATTAAAATAAGTTTGTATTTGATGCTTTGGTATTATATTTCTATAAATGAAGTACTTTATAATGTGTTGAAAATATTTAATAAGTAACATTGGATAAAGGACTTTTAATTTGGGCCAGCTACATGGCTCAGCATGTAACAGGACTCACAGTACAAGCCTGACCACCTGAGTTCATTTGATTGCTAGAAACCACGATGGAAGGAGAGAACTGACACATAAAAATTGTCCTGACTGCCACATATGCACTGTGGCATATACATGTCGCCTAAACTCACACGCACACACCCACACACTGTATAGGCATGCATACACACAATACAATAAGTTAAAACTTAATATCAAAAAACTTTGACTTTGTTCTTTGTCTTGCTGTTATATATTTAGTAATATATTAATTCTAATTTGAGCTGTACAAGTTGAGGATCCAATTAAGATACAGATTATACTGAAATTTACAAACTACTTATTCTCTTAAAAGCTTGTAAATTATATGTGTTTGATGTAAGCAATAGTTTATAAAAATTAAGATTAATAACAATAAGATACAAAATAAGAAAGAAAAGAGAGCTGAGAGGCTAAACATAGTCTTGACCAACCCTCAGTGTGTCTGAGATGGTATGTGCCTCAAAAGAAGCTCTAAGGGTGACAGAAATAAGAAGTGACTGAAAAATCTTGCAAATCACTCTACCCTTTCAACAATGCTTCTCTTTTACTGTAAAGCTGTTGGTCGACCTAAGTCTTCAGTAAGTTCCTGGGGGACCTCTGTGATTATTGTGCCAAAACAGGGGAGAAATGGTTTAATTTGGCATGGGAATGAATAAAGGAACTGTCTCAGGATTGTCTTTACAGTAAAGAATGAAACACGAGTAATTATGGTACTTTTCTAACGCTAAGCTACTCTCATTGAAATAGTGTCAGCAAATATGTATTTTTTGGCAACATTTAAACATGGTCTGTACACTTGAAAATGATCAGATTTCTTAAAATAATTATCAATTCTAATTTTAATAATTTATATTATTTTTCCCTATTTTTTAATCTTTGAAGCTCTGTGATTTATCCAAAAGCTATTAATATGGATTTTTAGTATACTTTACAGTTATTCTTGACAGTAAATGAGTCAAAATTTTCAACAGTTGATTAATTACCTTAGTACTACACATTCCCCTATGAACTCAAAGTTTGGTGAGTAATATCTAGGTGTTCTTGATGGTATTATGTGAACCTTTTTATTACTCACAATCTTAACAGTTACATACATGTTTCTTAAAACCTTGCATTATACAAAGAATGTTTTGCCATTTGCATACAACAGATTAAGAAAAAAATAAAACAATTAACATTTTAAATCGTCCGCATTTTTTAAAATCTTATCTAAAAACTTAACGTTTTATTTGAATATACACATTACTCTTTACCCTTATTTCTGATTAAAAATAATGATCCTGCATATAATTTTGCTTGTTTTATACTCTGGCACACAGAAAAGATATGGGAAAAGGCATACACAAATTATTCTCCCCATGTATTGCTCCCTAAGCAAACTCATCAAAAAGAAAAAGAGGGCTGAATGGCTGTGGTTAGATATACATCTGTACAGATGGACACATGCACACTCTGCCCCCTTGCAATTCTTCTCCACCTGGGACCACATGTAAAGCTTATAGAAAACTAAGCATTTTTCCAGGCCAGGCAACTGGCTTTATAACCAGAAAAGAGAAAATAATTTGACAGATTAAAGGGAATAGGATAAACTGACATTTAAGAACGTATTTTTATGACCTCAATTTTTTCTGTTTTTTTAAAAACAATTTTCTAATAAAGGTTTAACCAGTGGATTGAAGAACCTTGCTCCTCTATTCCACAACCAGCAGCTAAAAAAGTGGCTCACTGCTCTGTGTGTTCCCATCCAGGTAAGCAGGCATAGGAAACTCCCACAGAGTATTGGAGCCTGAGCGCATATTTACAGTCCTGCTCCTCATATGTTCTTATCCTTTATCAAGACCCTGCTTGGAAATGCCTTGGAGTCAGAGGCTGAGTTACACAGACATCGTGAGCATGCAATAAGCAATATGGAATGAGTAAAATTTCATACTCCGTTACCAAATTATCTAGATTTTGGTATTGTCATGTTTTGATAATATGAATCTACTTTTATAACAAAATATAAGTCTTAAAGGAAAATGGAGCTAAAACCATTCATTTTTTAATCAATGTTTTATGTTTATATGCTTAATTATCAACCTAATTTACTGGCTCTATAAATAATGACTTAAAATTAGTTTCCAATACAAGTTCATTCTTGTTGAAAATAGGTTGAATCTTCATTAGTCTTAGTTGAAAAAGATAACATTGAATATGAGCTGAATGTGGTACACACTTGTAATTCAGTACTTGGGAGATAGAGACAGTAGGATCAAGAGTTCAAGGCCATCTTCAATTGCATAAGGCATTTGAGTCCACCCTGGGATCCATGAGACCCTGACTCAAACAACAACAACAACAACCACAAAAAACAACCACACACAACCCGAAAAGTATCACTGAGTGTGTTTCCTTTCAAAGGAACGAGGCCCAGCCACACCTGTGCTGCAATGATGGTCTTCCTCTTCTAAGATAGTCTAAGACAGCTCTCGGGTAAATGGGAAGTGCACACTGCCAGAGGACTCATGCACTCAGTGACGAAACCATTTCATGAATTATTATATTAAGAAATCTTACTAATAATTACATTTTACTTTCCTATCTTGTAGCTACTATATAAACCAAAAGGTTTTCCATTCTTGGACATAAATTAATCAATACTTCAAATAAATGAGTACTTTGTGAGCAGTGTCATGATAGTAAGTTATAATTTGTCCTACCACTTTGGTGTACATTATTCTTTCAACCTAAGTGTATTGAAACCAACTGTACTAGACAATATTAATTCTGGAATCTTTGATAATGAGAAAAGGTGCATATTGAAGCTAATTCTGCAAAGCAATAAAAATCACACATCTTTGTGTCTCCACAAAGGTTCACCTAAGGATCATGAGCGTAATGGATGCACATTATGTAAAAGTGATAGATACTGTGAACCGCATGATTATGAATACCGCTGTCCTTGTGAATGGCACCAGACAGACCATAATAGGCAACTAAGTGAAGTAGAAAACAGTATTAAAAAGTAAGTTCTTTTTAGTCATTTAATGGTTTTTTCTATGACCTATATAGAAACCTGAGGTTGATTTACTTCCCCAATAATAACCTTCCCCCACATGCCTCACATACTGTGTTTTGTTTCTGTTAAAGCAAATTTCATCCATCTGGTCCAGTCATAGTGGCACACACCTTTAATCCCAGCACTTGGGAGGCAGAGAAACCAGCCTGTTCTACATAGCAAGCTCCAGGCCAGCCAGAGTTACATAGTGAGACTCTGTCTCAAGAAAACCAAAAGGGGAAAAAAAATGCATCCCTCTAAGGAGCTGACAAAGTGGTTTAGAAGGTAAAGGCGCTTGCTGCCAAGCCTAGTGACCTGAGTGTAGTCATCAGAACACACGTGTAGAGGAGAGAACCTACTTCAACAAGCTATCCTCTGACCTCACACATGTGCTGTTTGAAGAGGCCTAACTTAACATTAGTGCGGCCATGACAGGCTGCAGACTAACAATACTGGGACTAGGCCTCACCATTACAATAACCAGGAAAAGCCACGAACTGTACCCTGCAGGGAACCAATCAGAATTGAGACAAACAAGTACCAAATGCTCTAGAACATAAAGGACAGCTTACCTAATCTGTATATAGAATTCCAATTTCCTTGCAGCAACGCCCGAACAATCCCTGTTTGAGAAGACTTCTGTTACCTCACTCCTGACCAATCAGGAGTTCAACCCCCATCTGAATCTGGAATTCCCCTACCCGCCCCCCGACCCCCATCCTTTACTCCTTAAAAACCCTGCTATACTGAGCTCAATGCTCTCCCTGATTCAACCGCTGTGTGGGAATGGACGGGAAGCCCAAGCTTAAGCTTGCAATAAAGGCTCTTTGCTTTTGCATGCAAACTCAGACTCCTAGTGATCTCTGGGGGGCTCATGACTTGGGCATAACACTTCATATGTGCCCGCACAAATTCACCCACACATAAATAAATATTACAAAAAAGTCAAAATAAAATTTTATCTGAGAAGATAGCAGTTTAATAGTTTTTCAGAGAAAGGCTTGAAAGATACTGTATGTAGATATTTGTTATAAAATGAAATTGGATGAGATTTCAGTCTGTCTAATTTGATTGTATTGATTATATGTATAATTTATCTCTAGGAGAGCTTGCAGTTGCAAAGGATTTCCATTCCACGAGGTAATAATAATCCAGTCATCTATTTATTTTTTAAAATTGTTAGAGTTTTAAAGTCCTGATTCCTGTTTTTGTTTTTGTTTTTTATACTTAGGTCATCCAAGAATTCCTTTTGAATAAGGATAAAATGTTGAAACCCATCAGGTACCAAAGACCTGATTTATTATTGTTTCAGGTATCTGAAAATAAATTCTTACTTAATAGTAACAGTAGATAGGAAGATCGGAAGGATATTAGCTTCAGTATATGAGAGGAGACTTCAAAACTAAAACAGATAACTATTGACTATCCCTATATTATTTAGCATTCATTTTTAAACTTTACCCCTTGGCTATGCAAGATCCATACTCTCCAGACCAGAAGGCAAAGACAGGCTGCTTCTCAGAAGATTCTCAGTCACCATGTGTAGACACATTGAGTCCAGGACTATGTCTGGAAAGAAGGGCTTGGGACAAGGGGTGCTATGGTCAAATATACTATGACCCTGAATATGAAATATCCTTAAAATAGAAATAATATTACCACTTCATAAAGTCACCATGAGTATTAAATGAGATTATTTTAAACCCTGATGTTGTAATTAGGGAGAAAGGATGGCTGAGTAAATCTAGTTACACTCTGCCTTGTTAACAGCTATTATACGGAATGAATTAAATGTCTTCCCACTTAATCTACATAATCTGTCAACAGGGTTACATTCTCAGAGTTTAAAGATGGAGAAAAGGCCTAAGAGAGGTCAAGGCACTTAGCCCACCATCTCAGACATATGCTGGCAATCCGAACAGAGAACCCTCCCAACCACGTCGCTCTTTGGCACTTTATCCTTGGGAAGCTCATTTTTGCACAGAATAGTCTCATTAGTATTACTTTAGCATTACTATTAAAGAAAAGATAATGTCTGAGAGCATTTCTTGTCTGAAAAGTTTTAATACTTATCTTTACTGTGTTTATAGAGATTTACCATTCAGAAAATGGAGTGGCCCAATCACTATGCATGTGAGAAATTGTTGATGCTATTGACCCGCTATGATATGACAGAAAGAAAACTTGGGAGAAAGAACTCTAGTCAACTACAGCCAATTAGGTAATGTAGTTTAAGGAATTGTGTGGTTGGAGCTAGAGAGATGGCTGAGCAGTTAAGAACAGTTGTTGCTCTGGCAGGGGACCTGGGTTCACTTCCCAGCAGCCATCTGGTCACTCACAACCATCTGTGACTTCAGTTCTGGGAATTTGATGCCTTCTTCTGACTTCTGTAAGGCACCGTGCATGCTTGTGGTAACACATACATGTGGGCAAACACTTATACATGTAAGTTAAATAAATCTAAAGTATAATTTTTTAAAACTATTAGAAAAAAGAATTTTGTGATGAAGACTGTTCCCACCTCAATATTTGCTGACTGGAAGTGTTAGTCTTTCTCTCGTGTGTATAACAGCTGTTTTCCAAAGATGGAGGAAAGCCTAGAAATTAAAATCATATTCAGGCCTCAAACTCAAGACAACATAGTAAATCCAGGTTAGTGACATACTTTCAACTTTTCTACTTAAAAGTACAAAAAATAAACAGAAAATATAAAAAGAACCAAGCTTAACAAAGTACTATTTCAGTGAACCAGAAGAAAAATAGAAAGTGATAGAGTAGTATTTTAAAGTAAAAATGACTGGTAACATTGAAGAGTAGACATTGTTCACACAAAAGGCTCTTTCATACACTTGAAAATTAAGAGATTTTACCACACAAGACTCACATTAAAAGCACTATTAAGCCAAGCATAGTAGCACAGTCCTTTAATCCCAGCACTGAAGGCCGAGGCAAGCAGATCTCTGAGGTAAGGTCTACCAGGGCTACATAGTGAGACCTTGTCTCCAAACAAGCAAACACACATACCCGCGAAGAACTATTAAGAAGTACACATCAGGAAGCAAAGTGAAGCCAGAGGAAGATGTGGACTAAACATTGTCTATAATTTAGTGAACTGGGTGAAATTATTCACCTGAGTAATTATACTCACGTAATTTTCATGATTAATAAATGATAAACTAAAGCTTCATTTTGGATAGTATTCTAAGTGTTAGTCTTAAATCTTTAGATACATATTTTGAGAGTATTATTTGTATTTGTGAATTAATGTGTTTTTCTACCAGAAATATAGTATCTGTAGTGCTGCACTCAACCCTCCTCAGAGAAGCTGAATTCTGCAACAGATGGAAATTAACATAGACCTGCAGCTACAGAGTACAGAAAATGAGTGATGTTGGAGTACACATTCCTAAATAAGATATTTATATCATCTCCCCACCACACACACACACACACACACACACACACACACACACACACACACATAGCTCAGGGAACATTGTGAAGGAGAAGACAGAAAGATAAGAGATGGGTTTAGGAAGGCTGACTTCTGGACGGACAGGTAAGAGCCACTACACTCGGTGGATAGGGTTAGCCACACAAGACCTACACAAGATCAAGCAGTGAAAATTCCAGTGCGGGTGAGAGAAGGGCCCATGATTTCTGCTCCTCGCTAGGGAGCTCTGGCAGTTGATAGTTTCCGAGGTAGAGGAGTCAGTTCTCTTCAGAGAAGTGCCCCCTGTTAGACTGTCCATACTTCAATGGACGGTCCACACATGCACATAGAGTGGGCAGTGACTGGACGCTATGAAAAGAAGCTGTGAAGTTGGGAGGAGCATATGGTGGAGGATATAGAAGGAGCTTAAAGTGGAATAGGGAATAGGGGGGTTAATATGACCTAAACACATTGTATGCATGTATGATAAAATTATCAAAGAATGAGTAAGAATTTATGTTAGAAGAAAAATAAATAGCACTGTAAACAACACCAAAGAAAGAAATACAATGTCTGACATTCAAATAATTACAGTTAAAATAAGAAATAAAACTATCAGCTGGGCAGCGGTGGCACAGCCTTTAATCCCAGCACTCAGGAGGCAGAGCCAGGTGAATCTCTGAGTTCAAGGCCAGTCTGGTCTGCAGAGTGAGATCCAGGACAGGCACCAAAACTACACAGAGAAACCATGTCTCAAAAAACCAAAAAAAAAAGAAAGAAAACTATCAAACCAAGGGTATATAGGAAGGAGGAAGTGAGTACAAAGAAAAAAAATTGCTAACAAAACATAAAATTTATGAGTGTTTCCAACTCTCACTAGTCATAATAAATATAAGTGGGTTAAATTCATTTATTAAAATGCATATTGCATTGGATAAATGGAGATAAAAATTTTCATAGGAAAATACAAAGTATATAATATTCAGAAATAACAATTTAAGATTTAATAGGCAAATACCAAAGTAGTTTAACAAGAGAAATCATAGAAAAAGCAATACTACATAATAATGAAAAAATATTGAGGGGCTAGCAAGATGGATTAGAGGTTAAGAGTACTTGTTACTCTTGCAGAGGACCTGAGCTCAATTCCCAGAACCCACATGGTGGTTCACAGCCATCGGTCAGTCCATTCCCAGAGCATCTCAGTCCCTTTTCTGACCTCTGTGGGCATCAGTCATGCAGCTGGTGCATCTTCATACGTGTAGATAAAACACTCACAAATAAAATACAATGAATATATATGATGAAAACATATATATGTATGTATATGTATATATATATACATACATATATATTGAGTAAATCCAACAATTTTCAACTCTACCCCACAATGAAATTATTCAACTGAGTCCAAGGTATATCTAGGCAGTAATTCCTTATATCTTTACTTAGAATATCGATGGAAATTGAAGTACATAAATTAAAATTTTACAAATAACTTGCACAGTTAGACTTCAGCATATGAATTTATTTTTCAGGATTGTTAAGCCTCGAATCAGAAATGGAGTTCGTTGTCTTGAAATAGAATGGGAAAAGCCTGGTATGTATTCATTATACACAGTCCTCACCAAAAAACAAGATGGTCAGATCTATCAAAGCAATACCACCATCCTCTTTATATGTCTTTTTTTTTTTCTTTCAACTAACATACAAACTAATGTTTCCTCATGGCATTTTCATACTTACTTTGTTTTCTGGTTTACACAGACACACACAAGGATAGTGTCTCCTCTCCAACTCCCAGTTTATACTGTTCCACCCCCAGTACTACCCTTTCAGCTTTCATATCACGTGTTCAGTTGCTCTCCCCAACCCACTTCCTTAAAGTCTTTCCCCTTCTGCCTGCCATAGGCCCCTTGACAATAAAAATTAGAACCACTTTGAGATTCCATGTAATCCCAGTCAGAAGGGTTACCTTCAAGCAAGCAAATAACAACAAATGCTGGTGAGAATGTGGGAAAAGAGAAACCCTTTATTGACTCTTGGTAGGAGTGTAAATTAGTACAGCCACATGTAAATCAGTGTAGAGGTTTCTCAAAAAAGTTAGGGAAAAAAAAAAAACTAAACAGGACCCTGTAGATGTAACCAACCTTCTTATTAAATAAGAAACACAGAATGAATGCAAAGAAGAAAGCCAAGAGGTCAGAGCTAAGAGCTAAAACCTTACCCTTCCTCCTGCGGTGGTCCTACCTCTCCGAACCAGAGCTGCTTTCTGTGTTAAAGTCCTTATATAGAATTTCTGTCCTGCCTTCTCATTGGTTGTAAACCCAACCACATGACCGCCTCCTCACGGCCTGTCTGTATAGACCTCCGGGTTTTCCATGATTGGTATTGAGATTAAAGGCATGTGTATCCAATAATGGCTGTATCCCTGCACACACAGAGACTTACCTAGCTCTGCCTACCAAGTGCTGGGATTACAAGCGTACACCACCGCTGCCCTGCTTTCCTATGGCTTGCTAATAGCTCTGACCATAGGCAACTTTATTTATTAACATACAAATAACATTTTAATACAAATAAAATATCACCATAGGACCCAGCTATATCAACCTTAGGCAGATTCTCAAAGGACTGTCCTTCCAGAGAGATACTTACACATACATATTTATTGATGCTGTATTCACATTAGAAAGGAAACAGACTAAACATCTGTAAGTAAATGAATGGATAAGAAAAAAATTAGTACATATACACTGTAGCATTTTATTCAGTATTAAGGAAAAATAAAGTTATGAAATTTTCAAGAAAATGGGTGGAAGAAGACAGTAGTGAGGCAACCCAGACTCAGAAAGACAAACAACACATGTTCTCTCAGACGCAAATGCCACCTTTTAGCCTTTCTGTGTATATTTTGTTGTAAACCTCCATATAGACATTCTCATTTCAGCAGTTTGTGGGTCCTCTAATGCTGCAAGTAACTTCAAGTTGATAACCAGGGCTAAGAGTATGGAGGTGTGGCTTCCCTAGTGCACAGGAAGCCCTTTGTCTTATGGAATTGTTTATTCTGTTCCTTATCTGTAATTTTAATGTTTTATCTAAAGAAAGCTTTTTGTTCTCAACTGATGCCTCTATTTCTGAAACAAGAGAATTGAAAGTTCTAACATAAAAAGAAATCTCCCTTTCAGCTCTTCTAGGAAAAAAAAATAAAGTCAGTTTAAAAACAGCAACAAAAACAAAGTGTATGAGGGGGCAGGAGGGAGAAAAGAGCCAGACCCCAGGAGTGATGAGGTGGTAATAGTGACCAGGAAACATTCTATGCATGTATGTGATTATCAGAAATCAACAATAGAGATATGACAGTTGTAGCACAGACTTGTGGTGAATTATCTGCCCACTTTGAACAGTGTAGTTTTCCTGGTAACTACGTGGAAAACTGAGTTGTTAAACCTTTAGTTGTCTGCTTTGCTGTATTTTCCATCTTCTAGAACATTTTGCTGTGGAAGACACAGAGGCTGGGGCACTGGATCTCCTTACCATCGAAGAAGCATCCCTGTTTGAAGCAGCCTATCCTGAGGTGGTTGCTGTCTACCAGAAACAACAGTTAGAAACTCAAGGGAAGAAACAGAAGAGTAAGTGTTGAGTGGTTGTGCTGTGTACAAGTGTTGTGTAAGTCAAGCATAAGAACGGGGCTGTTTCTGTGTCTTCATCTGCTCTATCTTCCAATGCTGCGGGGCTAGGATCACACCTTAGGGCCTTCCAGATGCCAGCCAGCTGTTCTACCACTGCACTGCATACCAAGCCCCACACACTTCCTTCTCAACCTGAAGTGCTGGGACTCCACCATTCTGCTGTGTTTACTACCTTGACTAAGTTAAGTGCAGAGTAGTAGTGTGCTGTAGCGCTGACGCTAACAGACTTTAGAGCAGCTACTGCGAAGATACCTTGTATTATAAGTGCATTTTCTTTATCCTTCAGAAGTTAGTACAGAAAGTAACTCGATAATGACATTTCCCAGAGGAAAACGCTTTATAGTTTTTCTAGGAATGTCCTAGGTAGTGGATGGAGATGGGGGGAAAAAGCCTCACATAAATTAATGGTTTAAGTCTTTGGTTTAGAGTACTGTTTTTATTTTTGCTTGAGTTTTTTTTTTTTTAACCCAAGTTATTATATGTTTTTCTTTCTTTTCAGGTATGAAAGTTAAGCCTAAAGAAAACAGTTTACCAGAATCAGATAATACAGTCAGTTATCAATCACTTATGACTTTAAAACCTACATGTGAAGTTTTCCCCAAGCATAATCCCAAAATTAGTTTGGAAATTTCTCCAGATGTTATTTTACCACAGGAATCTACTTCTCCCTCATTGAGTAGTTTTGTTTTCTCAGAAAATGCTCCCTGTTTGAATCTGCAAGAACATTTCATGCCTTCTCCGAGACCTTTGGCTGGAAAGCAAACTAAAGATGTCAGTGATTTTCTAGGTTCAGAATGTAGTCAGCCCGGCTCTTTATCTGCTACTAGTTCTGTGATTGCTGATCTTCAGTTGAGTACCATTGACTGGGAAGAGACTTCTTTTAGTAATTCTCCAGCTGTTCAAGAACACACTTTGTCTCAAGATTTACAACCAGAACTTGAATCATCAGCCATGCTTCCTGGCTTTGAAAATACCCCAGAACAATTGTCATACAAATCAGAACAATACTTCACAAACAATGAAATGTTGGGTGGAGATCTTCAAAAGATTAGTCCTGAAGAACATCTGCTTCCTGGAGTCACTGGTTTATGTCTTCATGATTTGCCTCTAATGGAACGAATACATATAAAATCCTCATGCCCTCAGTATAATGTACAAGCAAATGCTAACCTGGAAAGTTTGCCCCTAAAAGTAAAAGGCTCTTGTATTACTGACAGTAGTTCTGTTTGTTTATCAAATTTCTCAAAGGAATTTCCAGGAACAAATCTGCACAAAGAGTCCAAAAGCTTGAAAGTACTAGACAACCAACTCCTTCAAGACAATTCTACGGTGAATACTTCCATACCTTATTCGTTTGATGACAAAGTGGTAAAGACGTCCACTCTTCACATTGGGCCCCCAAATACTGCTCTACCTCATAATCCCAAAGTTGATGAGAGAACTACTAAGAAACTTGTGAAGAATAGTGTTTGCCTCAAGAGAGATTCCTCAGATGAAGAAAATGCTCCAGTGTCCTGGAAAGCTCAGTATGCTGCTCCAAAAATGAAACACAGTTCTCAGAAGCATAGCCTAGCCCAGGTCAGAGACAGTAGTCACAGCAAGCTCAGCAATCCCAAAATAGACACCAAAGAAACCAAACTGTGCACAAAGTCTTCTACAACAGCTGGAGGTGAAGAAAAGTGGTTCTCAGACCCAGCAAAAAGGACTCAGAGTTTTCCACAATATCGTAAAAAGGATGAGGACTCCACTGCCTGCTTGGAAAGTCCTCTCCCTTTAAGCCAGAGGTTAAAACTCAGATTCCAGAACACTGGAAGTAGATTTGAAAATACTTAAGTTTAATTTATTTGGGTGTTGTCAGCATTAGCAGAAGCCAGGCAGTGCTGTCTAGTTCATGTTTGGTAGAAAATTTACATGACTATGTGCCATTTTAATCAAAATTGTAACTTAAGATGGTAACAGCCATGTATGGCTCATGCCTATAATCACAGCACTTAGGAGGTGGATAGACTCTGGAGGATCAGGAGTTCAAGGTTATCCTCTGGTATATGGAGAGTTTCAGGCCAATCTAATTTATCTAAGGAAGAAAAAAAATTAAAACTTTGATTACATAATATGACAGCTTCAAATAATGTATTTTTAGGACCTATTTTACCATTCTTGAAATGTCATTACTGAGTATCTAGCATTAACATATTAGTGTATTCTTTGATAGAGTAAATGCGTTACCGGTTTTTAATTCTTATATAAGCCTCTGAAGCATTTGTTACAGTCTAGGTTATTCCCAAGAGGGTAACACTTTGTAATTGTATCCAGTGCCTTTTATTGGCCCTTCCTAATGGCTCTATTTCTCTTCATGTTAAAGTACCATTAGCGTGCTCTTCCACTTTAGTGTTGTCGTGTTTGAGAAATGAAAATGGAAGAAGAGGGTGATGTGGAGTAAAGTGTGTTTGTAAAGTCTGGATAAGGAAAGTTATTCCTTATGTGCATTCAGAAGTTCACAGGCACTACAAGTGGGAAATGTTCTTAAAATTAGGTGTAAAACCAAAGGGAACTGAAGCTTATTCGGGATCACACAGTTAGTAATAGCAAGAGTATGAGTCCCACCTTTGCTTTCTAGTTTGGACCTTATGTTTTTATTTTTCTGTTTTGTTTTTAATCTATGAAACTGTTCCCTTTTGCTTTAAAAATTAGTTTTTAATTCCTGTAAACATTAAGTCTTGCATAAATTGTACTCAAAAATTCTGGAGGCATCTGCATTCTAAAAGAGACAGTACAACTGTTTGTAAATGACTGGAGCTTGAAAGTAGAAAATCCTAACAAATCCATCAGAAAACATCTATTAAAAGCAAGCCAGATGTGATGACACATGCCTTTAATCCCAGAACTTGGAAGACGGAGGTAGGTGGATCTCTGAGTTCAGGGCTAGCCTGGTAGGCAGAGCTAGTTCCAGAGTAGCCATTGCTACATAGAAACCCTGTTAGTGAAAAAAAAAAAAAATCTGTAAACCAAAAGACAAAAAGAAAAACCTATTAAAAGTGAAGTGTGAGTTCAGCAAGGTTGTAAAATACTAACTTATACAGCTGTATGAACATGTATGAACTATACTCTGTATGAACATGAAATTTCACCAAGTGAAGATTAAAATTACTCCATTTACAACATCAAGAAAATGAACACAATAAAGATATCCAAACTTAGAGTTAACAGTGGAAAACAGTGGATGAAAGGAAAGAAAGTATAAATAAAAAGACATCTCAGGTTCATGGATCAGAAGATGTAGCATGGCGATACTGTTTAAACTGTTTGGTTTTGCCAAGTGGTGCCGGCACATGCCTTTAATCCCAGCGCTCAGGCAGCAAAAGCAGGCGAATCCCTGAGTTCCAGGACAGCCAGTGCTACACAGAGAAACCCTGTCTGGAAAAACAAATACATAAACTGTGGTTTCAATCCAATCCCATCAATTTCATGTTTGTTTACTTTGTTTTGTTTTTCCCCCCAGAACATGGCAAGCTGATTTCATTATTTAGATAGAAATTTAACAAAATAGCACATCTTGGGAAAATTGGAGAATTCATCCTTCCTGATGTCATAATTTACTACAAAGCTGTATAAATGAAATATGTTGTACTGATATAAGGGTAGCTGTGTGGATAAATGTTAAGTCAGTTGGATAGAATCAAGAGTCTAGAAATGTGCCCTCACATTTACTGTCCATTGCTCTTTAGCCACTATGAAGACAATTCAGTGGGGGAAAGTCTCAATTAATGCTGCTGGAACTTTTGACTGTTCACATAAGAATGACGTTTAATCCCTACCTCACCTTTTTCCTTTAATTTTCCTCTCTCCGTCCCTCCCTCCCTCCATCCCTCTCTTCTCTTCTCTTTCTCTTTCTCTCTCTCTCTCTCCTCTCTCCTCTCTCTCTCTCTCTCTCTCTCTCTCTCTCTCTCTCTCCTCTCTCTCTCTCTCTCTCTCTCTCTCTCTCTCTCTCTCTCTCTCTTTCATGCACCCAGTAGCAGGAGTGCTCATAGTAAATAAATTCTTGAAGTCTCCACCAGCAACATTTCAGATCTAGGGCTTGATGCATACATGGATTGCCAATTATGGGGAGATAGTAACAGTGATACTTGTAACCTGCTAGACACTAACATAATACACACAACTAGGCCTGCAATATCCTCAAGTCATAAGCCAGATCATTACCAAATAGCTATGCAACTGGTGGACCAAAGAGGTAAGCATGAGAGTTGTCCCCTTTCAGGTTCCTGGTTCATTCAGTCTGCCCCATTTTTCTCTCATAACCAAGAAGGGTACCGAAACTATGGGGTTTAGAACAGGTGGACTCTTGAGCAATAGATGTCTCCAATAGTGAGGAAGTAGTTGTAAGACCTTAGACAAGAGTGATATTTGCATGTTAGTAATGCAAGATAATGAGAGAACATGCAAGTTAGGTTTTCTTTCCTGTCCATTGCTATATCAGCTAGAAAAAGACTAAGACCAAGGGCTTGAGGCTCCATATGTTTTCCTAAGATGGAAACATGATCCCTTTTGTAGCAGACTGGGTAGAGTAGTTAACTCTAGAATTTAGGTTCACAGAGACATTCTAGATGGATGCTACAGAGGTCCACATCAGAGATACAGCAGGAGCAAGCTCAGGTATGAGGGACCTCAAAAGAGGAGAGGAAGTTATGGAAAACTTATGATGATTAGTTGAGGGGTGCAGGTGTTCTAGAGGTAGAATCCTATTAACCATTTCTCTGTAGAAGGACAGCATGCCTCTACTCTAGGCAATTCTCACCCCTGTCCCAAGGGGAGACTGGAACACTTGGTTGTCTAAGTAGTGCTGGCCTTGTCTCACCTGCCAATTGGCCAGGTCTGACAGACTCCAGTGAATACAAGTCAACCGAGAAGAGCAAGGCAAGCTCTTGATGGCTTGTGTTACAGGACAGAGCAATTCTTCCACAGGACAAACTTGGCCTTAAGGTCATTGGGCTCCTTCACTCTGCTTGTAGGACACCACAGTCCGCTGGGCAGACAGGCCTGTGTCAAAGGGACCTTAGGTAGTTTGCACACTGAGTAGCATGATTATTGTGCTTGAAGTAGATACAACTAGAGTGAAGTACCCTGGGACTAGGGCCTTTTGAAGATCCACAAGAGCAGTCCTCCGGAGGCATGGTTGTCCTTATACCATATTTTTTTTAAGTGCAAACTGGATCAATGACTTGAGATCTAAAACTGTAAGAGAAAATAGGCTGAAGGCTAGAGAGATGGCTCAGCCTGTAAGAGTACTTGGTCTTGCGAAGGACTGGAGTCCAGTTCCAAGCACCCATGTAGGGTGGCTTACAAGCCCTTATAACTCTAGGCCTAGGGGATAACAAACTGACATTCTCAAATACCTACACACGTGCACATACTCATACATACATAATTTAAAATTCTGAAAAGAGGCTAAAACGTTTGGTATTTCATTAAGCAAAGGCTTCTTAGGACATTAAAGCATAGGCATAAAATGACTGGATTTTTATCAAAACTTGTTTCAAATGACGTAGAAAGTGATGAGACAGTATAATGAGAGAAAACATTCAAAACCATAGCTGTAAAGGACCTGTACAAAGAGCTGTTACGATTCAATAGTGAAAGGGTAGTTTTAAAAATAAGCAAAATACCTAAATAGACATCGCTCCAAAGAAGACATAAAAATGGCCAATAAGCATAGGAAAATTTTTTCAATCATATCAACTAGGAAAAACATAAATCCAAGCCACAGGCAGTTCCCATTTCAGTCACGAGGATGGTTAAACTGAAGAGAGGACTAAGAACATGAACTGGAACTTTATAACCTGCTGTGATGGAAGTGCAAGTTCAGAAGGCACTTTGGAACAGTCTCACGGTTCTTCAAATGATTACAGTTGTTGAGTAATTCTGCTCCCAGAAATCTACTCAAGGGAAACGAAAACACAGCCACATTAAAAAAAAAAAATCAGTGTACAAATGCCCCTAACATTACTGTTAACACTAGCCACAAAGTAGAAACCACCCAAGTTGCCAAGGGAAGAAAACTAACATGTATTGTGTGCCAATGGTGTGGTAAGTACTCAGCTACGTTTTGTACAGTTTCTATCAACCCTAATAACTGTATTGCCAAGTTTTGAATATTTAAGAAAATATCCATTAAAAATTTCTAAGTGTTACCAGGCAGTGGTGGCACACACCTTTAGTCCCAGCACTCAGGAGGCAGAGGCAGGCGGATCTCTTGAGTTTGAGGCCAGCCTAGTCTACAGAGTGAATTCCAGGACAACCAGGGCTGTTAACACAGAAGCCCTGTCTTGAAAAACCAAAAAGAAAAAAATTTCCAAGTGTCTTGTTCATCTTGATTAGTCCGTTGTTCTGGGCTGATAGCTTAGGACCAGGCATTCCAGGGAAATACTTAATATCTATAGATGTTCTTGAGATACTATGAAATGAAGGCAACAAGATGGGTTAGGAATGGCTCATCTGGATTATTTATAAATCTGTGGACGTCAGTCTACCCAGTCTGCCACCAGCTTTCACTTCCTCTTCATGGTGTCTTTTGTTGTCCAGGCTATTACTCAAATTCTTGTATGTTGTAGTTACTTGCTGATAGGCTCACGACACTTGTGCATAGACTGGCCTCGTGAATTATTGTTTATATTTGCATCTGTCTCTTCATTGTGTTGTCTTTCAATTACTCTACTAAAAATCTGTGTCTAGTTACTTGGGCCCTGGAAATTGATTTCTTCCTCTTTCCTCCATCCTGAGCCCTGCTCTGACATATCTATTATAGGCTTTGTGAGGTCACTCTGAAGTCCTTAGGGTTTTCATTCCACAGTTCACATTAGGGGAGACTCCTTTATTTGGGGTAGCAATGATAAATACTTTTTGGTTAGATATGCCTAATTTCAAGGGCTTTTCTGCTACAGATTTCCCCAGATACTTCCTCACCTTTCTGAGACTCATTGAAATATTTATGTCACATCTACTATGTTACAGACATTGCTGGGCCCCCGAGATAGAGTGATGAATGGATCCTGCGAGGCTGTTTTAATATCTATAAATTAACTGCAACCATGGGCACATTGAGGCACTTAATAAATGATAGATATCAGGTATTGTCATTTGGAAGAACGTTTCAGATTTAATTTCAAGCGAAATTGAGCCCAAACACTGCATTTAAGTAAAAATGTGAGCACTGTAACCCTCTAATAGGGGGTGTGAGGTAGAACTACCTGGAAAAAGGGAGCCCACTGGGTTAGCATTCTAAAAAGGATCCTAAAGAATGTAAGATTTGAGCTATGGTTCTAATTCTGGAAAGTGAACAATGTACTTGCAGAAATACCATTGGTAACTAATGTTAATCCAGTCACCCAACATAATTACTAACCACCAACTTCCTGCAGAGCTCTTGGACTTTGTGTGATGACTCGTGGTGTGTCTGTGAGTTTAAAAGGAATTCCTTTAGGCCATTCAGTTAGAAAATGCTAAAGCTGGACAGGAGATAGGACTCAGTGGTTAGGGTCACTGACTGCTGTTCCAGAGGACTTGGGTCCAACTCCCAGGCCCCATATAGCAGCTCACAACCATCTATACCTCAGTTTGAAAGGGCCTAATGCCCTTTCCTGCCCTCCAGGGGTACCAGGCATGCACACGGTGCATAGCCAGACTTGCAGAGTAAATACCCAAACACATAATTTTATTTTTAATTTAGAAAAATACTAAAGCTAAAGCTAGAACTGAGATTTCCTACTTAGTGAAGGAGATTCCTGTATTTGTAAGTATGTTTCTATACTCAGTTCTCGCCTCAGATCTAACCTGCACATCTTTCCTGACTTTTTAGTGTCATTCTGTGCTATCTTCAGCCCTGTGTTATTCTTCGCACATAATAGTGTCAGATGTTAATGTGCAGTTGTTTGCTTGTGGCTTTTCATTGTCTATTTCCCAAACTAGAATGCGTACTAAAGGGAAGAACTTCCAGTTTTATGTTCACAGAATACTGGGAAATTGCTTGTAATTACTAGTAGTTATT